TTGTATATATCTATCGGAGAAATGGCAGTAAGCTCGGTTCTGTTGAGGGAAGAAGGCGCAGTGCAATTTCCAATTTATTACGTGAGTAAAGTGATGCAAGGGGCGGAAAGGAGATATTCGGAGATCGAGAAGTGTGCTTTAGCGGTGGTAGTAACAGTGAGAAAGTTGCGGCCGTACTTTCTAGGCCATAAGGTGAAGGTGAGAACGAATATGCAATTGGGAGAGACGTTAGGTCGACCTTCGGTATCAGGTCGACTAGTCAAATGGGCGGTCGAGTTGAGTGAATACACGATAGCATATGAGCCAAGGAGGGTGATAAAAGCACAGGCGTTGGTGGATTTCATACAAGAGGGTACGAAGGGGGAGGAAGAAGAAGAAGGTGTTTGGCAAATGTTTGCTGATGGCTCGGTGTCGAGAGTTGGAGGGGGTTTGGGCATTGTTTTAATCTCGCCCAACGGAGACAATTTGGAGTTTGCAGTCAAAGTCGAGTACAAGGTATCGAACAATGAGGCAGAGTATGAGGCGGTTATTAAAGGGATGCAGCTGGCCATAGCAGGTGGAGCTCGCAAAATTCAAGTGTATTCTGATTCTCAGTTGGTGGTAGGCCAGTTTCAGGAGGACTTTGAGGTGAAGGAGGAAAGAATGCAGCGGTATGTCGAGGAAATGAAGAGATTGAGGATGGAGTTTATCTCGTTTGAATTAGTGTAAATACCCCGAGGCGAGAATGGTCAAACGGATCTGTTATCCAAAATCGCGCAGAATCTGGTCGACTGTAAGAGCAGAAGTGTCACTTTGCTGCACATGGAGAGAAGTGCGGTCGAGCATGAAGTAGCGGAGATAGAAGAGGTCGACGATTGGAGAACTTTGATACTGAAGAAGTTGAGAGAAGGAGGGGCGAAGGTGTTAAGGAGGTTTTTCGAGCATAATGGAGTGTTGTATAAGAGGTCGTATGCCGGACCTCACCTAAGATGTGTGACGCGAGAAGAGGGCCGACATGTGTTGAAGGAGACCCACGAGGGATGTTGCAGCGATCACAGTAAGGCAGGGTCTTTGGTAGCGAAGATACTGCGAGCAGGATACTTTTGGCCGACCATGAAGGAGGACGCGAAGATGATGGTGAGGAAGTGTTTACAATGTCAGAAGCATGGGCCACTTATTCACCAATCTGCGGAAATGATGACAACGATGAGTGCCCCTATCCCATTTGCGCAGTGGGGCGTCGATCTGGTGGGGCCGATGCCGCAGGGAACTGGTCAAAGAAAATTTTTTATCGTGGCAGTGGACTATTTCACGAAGTGGGTGGAGGCTGAGCCGCTGGCAAAAAACACGGAAGAAAAAGTCATACAATTTTTATATAACAATATTTGCTGCAGGTTTGGTGTTCCAAGGGTGTTGGTGTCCGATAATGGGACGCAATTTAATGGCAAACGGATCCGAGCATGGTGCGAAGACTTGAAGATCGAGCAGCATTTCGCGTCAGTTGCTCATCCGCAAGCCAATGGACAAGTCGAAGTGACCAACAGAATCATCTTAAACGGCCTGAAAACAAGATTGGAGAAGGCGTCGGGTGCATGGGTCGACGAGCTCACTTCAGTACTTTGGGCGTATCGGACAACACCAAGATCGACCACGGGAGAGACACCATTCAGCCTGGTTTACGGCATGGAGGCACTGCTCCCAATCGAGAGCGAGATCCAGTCACAAGGATCGAGCACATATAATCTGGAGCATAACGAGAACTTAATATTGGTAGCCCTGGACACAATCGAAGAACATCGGGAACAAGCCTCGATCAGAGTCGAGGCGTACAAACAGAGGATGCGGGCAGCGCATGATAGGAAGGTCAAGATGAGGAGATTCTAGGTGGGCGATCTGGTCTGGAAAAGAGTGGACGTGTTGAATCACGTGGGTAAGCTCGAACCCAACTGGGAAGGACCATACTTGGTCGAGAAGGTTCACGCGGGAGGTGCATATTCACTCAAGGATGCTGAAGGTCGATCACTCCCCAGGTCATGGAATGTGGCTAACTTGAAGAGATATTATGTTTAACCGGTGTAACCGGTGTAATTGCCTCCAAAGATAAATGCAAATACACCATGGACATAAGAGGAAGGTAATAAATATACTGAAGAACACTATCGTTATTGAGTCTTAAGAAATTCAACGAACCACCGGGTTGGCTAACTATTAAAGTAATCTCCTTCATTGTTCAACCTCCTCCAAACCACAATTTTCATTAATCATTTCTACCAATTGTTGATATGATATCCTCTCCGGAATAAACAATGAACCATCCGGACGATCTTTAAATAAAACAAATTCATTTAACCTTTCCTTTGCAAAATGCCAGTACAAATTAACAAAGTATGGACCGGAATACGCCATTAATACCTGTTGCAAAAAGACACTTTCAATTCTTCCCAATTACAACAACACATAATGTCTAATGTCTAATCCAACACAAAAAAAAAAAATCAATTATTTCAACTAAATAACCAAAATAAGTATTCCCAATAAAATAATTCTTCAAAACCCTAATACCCATAATCAACAATAACATATAATTTATTTATATTTCGGGTAAATTGAAAGCCCTAATTCTTACCTAATTTCGAAAACCCTAAGCCCAACAATAACCCACCAATACACAATTGACAATTTACAACAGAATTTCAATCTCCAATTCAACATATACACATATTCGATAAACAATTAACAATTCCCAATGTTAAAACAACACTACATTCAAACATACTATAACAATTCCCAATCTCCAAACAACTCAAAACAATGTAAAAAGTTGAGATAAACCAATATACCTTGTGCGAATGAATTAACCGGAAATGAGGCTCGTGTCGTTGTTGTCGATTCGCGTCGGGTAGAGATTGGATCGCGTTTTTTTTTTTCCTGAAGGTTTTCTCTTCTCTTCTCTGTTCTCACTCTCCTCTGCCTCTGAATTCTTATCTCGTAAGAAAGAGAAGAAGAGTTTTTTATTTATATTTGATTGTAAAACGTATTCTCAGAATACGTTTTACATATTTATTTTTTTTTTGGTAAATTTAAATATGTAAACGTATTTCGTAAATACGTTTTAACAAAAAAAAGTATAGCGAAAATACGTTTTATAATTACTATTTTTAATTCAATTCCACTTTTAATTCCGAAAAATTAATTTTTTTTATTTTACAAAAAATATTTATATAACGTATTATCGGAATACGTGCTTTTGATTTTTTTCCACCTCTTTTTTTTTGTCCACTTATTTTTTTTTTTAAATAAATAAATCACCCATAAATTATGAGCATAAACCACTCAAGGGAGTTACAAAATTCTACTCAAATTTTAAGTCATACCCACTCATAAAAATGACCGGGTGTATTAGCATAAAGAATCATAAAAATGATCAGGTGTATTATAAAGAAAATAGTTATAACGGCTCTTCTATAACAATTACTTGATTAAAATTATTTTTTAGAATTATTTTCTTAATTCATATTTTTTTCATGAATTAAATTATGTTTTTTTTTTTATATTTTATCTTTTTAAAATATTCGTGTCTGCAAATACATAGGTCGATTACTAGTTTTAGTATTTAAAATAATAGACAAATCTATACTTATATTAAAAGGTATACCATTTACCAGATTTAGTATAAAAAAAAGTCAACAACATTTATTGCATTACTATATCCGTATTATACAATCTATACTTATATAAAAGGAGATTCTATTTACTACATTTACTATTAAGAAAAGTCAACTGCATTAAATGCCATTACTATTTTGGTATTATAATATTTTATTTATTTAATTGATTTATTTATTTGTTTTATTTTAAAAAGGTAAGTATAATAAAAAGATTTTCATAATAAAAAAAAATCAAATACCAAATAAAAATGTACACTTTGACTTATGTGATTATATTTGGTATTTGATTATACCAAATATATTCCTATTTAGTATATACATTAAATACTTACTAAAGTATTTATTTGTTTTATTTGTCACAGTCAAGTATAGATTTGTTTATATTATCAAATCATAAAAAAATATTAAATCCATATTGTAAAAAAAAAAATCATATAATTTTATAACAATTCTACTACACGATTTAACAATATTTTTTTTATTATATAATAAAATAATAATTAAATATTATATGGTGAACAACAATAAATAAAACCGTTACTTTCTCTTATATCAATGGATAAATTTATATGCTAAAATTAAATTTTTATTAGTATAAATGTTTTAGTGAGATAATATATTAATTATTTTACAAGCTAGCCCTAACATGCTCATATTTAATGTTTAAAAGATGTAGAAAAAAATCTTATAATAACTCTATTGTTTTTTAAACTTAAACGTTGATTAAAAGAGGTAAAAATTCCTAATTTTTTAGACTTAAACGTTGATTAACATCATAGATTGAGAGTTTATATTTAGTAAAATTCCTAATTGTAATAAAAAAATTAATTTTTGCTATATTTTAGAATATCTTTAAATTCATTATAAAAAAGAAAAAAAAAAAGAAAAAAAACTACAATGAAAAAAGCAAGTTAACTATATATCGATTTGTTGTACTCCTCAAATCACATTCACAATTTGACTACAAGGAAAGGAAACTCATTGATTAAAATATTATTTTGTCAGTAGTCTTAATGTACAAGAGACTTTAAGACTCTACTTGAATATTATAAAACTTTTATTGAACATTGTACAATTTTCTTGCGTATTATAAACTTTTATTGAATATTGCACCTTATCATATAATATTCTCCAAATAAATATATCTCGTTCCGTACATTTTTTTTTATTCATGTATATAATTATAAGCCTGGATAAATAGCCGTAAAATTGTGCACCCGTGCATCACACGGGCTCTTACTAGTCACAAGATATATAAGCTAAAATTTAATGAAACGACTTAACCAACCAAACTTATGATCCATCACAATATATATAAAACAAAATTAATGAAACGACTTTAACCAACCACACTTATTCTGGATTTTCATCATAGACGGGCACATTGCACACCGGGCACGAGTTCTTATTACGCAAAGACCGAACAATGCAATGGGAATGAAACGTGTGGCCACATGCAATAGTCGATAACTGGGCTCCCAATGTAGGGGCCCGCTCGCATATTGGGCAGCTCCTCATCAAGCCGAAGCCCAACTCAACATCCTCCAATCTGGACCTCGCCATATGTTCCATCACGAAAACCCCCAGCGCCCAATTGACATCAACCGGGTCCGGCACCAGATTCTCAACCCTAATCGCCCGATCCATGGTAGCGCCCAATTCCTCGCCGTCCTGCTGCACCGTGCAGACCACAATCCTCAAGGTCACGGGGATGACACGTGGACCCCTGTCCGCCGTCGATAGCAACGTGGATCTGCACAGGTCAGTCGCCTCGCGGATCAGTTCCTGGATCTGGGCCTCCGGCATCCAGTACTCCCTCAGCCGGTATTGTGAGTGAGGGAAGAGCTCGTAATCGAATTCATAACCGAAGAGGCGTTCGGAGATAGTCTCGGAGCACAGAGTGATCTCGCCGGCGCCGGAGTCTCTTGGTTTTAGGATGAAATTGGTTCGGGTCTGGAATTCGAACGCGCAGCGCCCTTCGAGGGAGATTCTCCGGTTCGTATTTACGCGGCCCTCGTCGATCTCGATCTGATGGCGGTACTCGTATCCCGGCCGCCGTCGGTTATCCACCGGATTCGGATTCGGATTCGGATCCATAAGGGACTCCTTATATAATTATTCTGGTTCGGAATTAACGAGGATACATATAACATATAAATATAGGGAGAGTATTGTTCTGGTAGGCCTCAAAAGGATAGGAATAGGATAGGAATAAAGATTTTTTATCGGTTGGTTAAATTAGATTTTGTTTCTACCAAATACTTTGAACTAATCTGTAGTAACCAGAACTATGCACGTTAAGAGATATTAATTTAATATTTATAAATTAAAAATTTTGTATTAAATAATATTTATAAATACAATATAGTTATATAATTTATTGAAAATGTTATATAAAGTTAAAATTGTGCAAAATTATATAAAAATGTCTATTTAAAATTAGTACACATCTCGTGCGTTGCACATAATTGATAATTAATTACATTATATCATTTCCAAATATGTGTTATTTCAAACTTTTTCTTCAAAAGTTCGATTTCCTAATTACATTATATCGATTTGTCAAAAGTTCGAACCCGACTCGGCTCGTTTACAGTCCTAACTACAAGTCGATACGTTTGCAGGATTTTACATTTTTAATCCACGGTAGAAAATGTTAAAAGGGCAAGGTTATTATAGTAAATATGTAAAGAAAAAGAGTTATATTATATAATTTAGTNGAGAGAGAATTAAGAACTAACACCTTGAGAACAGCTACTACCCTCCCCAGGCCTGTCCACTCTTCTTGTCTTATAATAGGTCCATTCAGTCATATAGCCACTTGGACAAGAAGACGTGCAGGCCGCTTGACTCGTTCAAAAACCCATAGATTGCGGGATTTCCAGAGCCACCAGAGAATATAAGTGGATAACTGGATTCGCGCTTCTGATGTCTCGGATGTATCTAACTGGCATATATGCCACCACCAATCATGAAAAAATTCCCCTTTCTGAGGCCCATCCCAATGCACTGGGGACAACTTCCAAACCATTTGAGCATAGGGGCAGTAGAAAAGCATGTGTTCAACTGACTCTCTTTCCTCGCCACATAAATCACAGATTCCATCAACATCAATTCCTCTAGCAAGTAGATTTTGTTTGACAGGTAAAGTGCCATTACAGCACTTCCATATAAAATGCTTGAGCTTACCCATGACCTGTATCTTCCAACTCCTATTTCTGACTTTAATGTCCCTTGCCATATCCTTACTCCCTTGTGCCTGGCCACCCTTAAGTAACTTGTCTGTCATAAGGTGTGCATAAGTAGACTGTACAGAGAAAGAGCCCTTCCTGCTTAGATTCCATGTCCATTTGTCCTTGTGATTTGAATTAAGAGTCTTAATGTTCTGAATGAGGGCACAGATGTGAGGGGGAAATGTTCTCCTGATTTTGCTTGCATCCCAGTTCCACCCATCAGCAGTCATAAGGTCCCTTACCCACACACAGTTCCTATCAATCCCGGCCAGTAAATCCACAGGTTTGCCAATTAGTTTTGGTATCCAGTGAGTGTCCCAGATCTTGGTGCTGCATCCATCCACAATTTCAACCTGCATCCATTGGCCACAAACCTGCAAGACTGTCTACCAGCTTCTCCAAAGCCACGATGAATTCTGCCTGATCTGAGCCTAAAAAATAGTAGAGTTAGGATAATATTTGGCTTTAAGGACTCTACTCACCAATGATTCAGGCACTGTGATTAGTCTCCAGATCTGCTTGGCAATGAGAGCAATATTAAAGAGCTGAATATCATGAAACCCAAGACCACCGTGCTTTTTAGGCAATGTTAATTTACTCCAAGCCATCCAAGGAAAACCTTTCTGCAAGTTAAGACCTTTGCTCCACCAAAAATTCCCACAAATACTAGAGATTTCCTTGCACAGAGTAATAGACAAAACAAAGCAGAACATGGCAAATACAGGAAGGGCATTAAGGACAGCTTTAATAAGAATTTCCTTACCGGCTGTGGAAAGCCATTTGTTTTTTCCAGTTGAAGACTCTGCTTTGAATCACTGTGAGAATATAATCAAAAGCTTCTTTTTTAGACCTCCCAATGCCCATTGGGAGACCTAAATATCTGGTGGATGAGTGCACCTGAATCCCAGCGAGAATAGAACAACACCTGGATTGTAGCTCTGATGGAGTATTCTTACTGAAGAAGATAGTAGATTTAGCCATGTTCACGCTTTGCCCTGTGAAACTGTGATATATCTGGAGAATATTGATAATCTGGACTGCCTGTTGTTCATCTGCTTTATAGAAAAACAGTGTATCGTCTGCAAACAATAGATGTGTCAATATAGGCCCGTCTTTTGAAAGTCTAACACCCTTATAAATGCCCTTATCCACTGCATCCTGAATCTTAGCAGACAAAAGTTCAGATATAATGATAAATAGGTAGGGGGACAAAGGATCCCCCTGCCTAAGCCCACGAGAAGCTGTATCTAGACCACATGGCTTACCATTCAAATTAAAAGAAAAAGTTGGGAATTCAATACATGCCATTATCCATTTCACAAATTGAACAGAGAAACCCAATCGCACCATTGTCAGTTGCACAGACTTCCATTCCACACTATCAAACACTTTAATCATATCCAGTTTAAAGCCATAAAACAATTCTTACCAGAGCGATGCCTATTCAGAAAATGAAAGACTTCATGCCCCAGTACGACATTATCAAGCAGTTGTCTTCCAGGGAGGAAGGCTGCGTGGTTCGCTGAAATGCATTCATTGAGGCAAAGTCTGAGTCTAAGTGCCATAATCTTTGAAATCACCTTGTGAAAAATAGCACAAAGACTAATTGGCCTATATTGACTTATCGAAATGGGATTAGAACACTTGGGAATCAAAGTGATCAAAGTATGCTTCCAGTATTTCAGAAGTTGGCCAGATTCAAAAAAACTTTTAACTGCCACAGAAATATCAATGCCAATAATAGGCCAGAAATGTTGGAAAACAGACCTGTCATGCCGTCTTCCCCAAGTGCTTTGTCTGGGTGAATGCTAAAAACAGCCTTTTTTATGTCCTCGTTATCGATAGGAGCCGTGAGGATGGAATTCATATCGTCTGTGACGGTTTTGTTAAGCAGAGGTAAGAGTTCATGTCCCCGCCGGGAGCCTTGAGAAGTGTAGAGTCTATCGTAGTAACCTGTGATTATCCGCTCAATGTCATCAGGGTGGTCACTAATTAAATTTCCTTCGGTCACAGCCATACAATGGCATTCATTTTCCGTCTCTGAGAAGCTTATGCGTGGAAGAACTTTGAGTTCTGATCACCTTCCTTAAACCAGAGGGCACGCGCTTTTTGTTGCCAATAGATTTCTTCGGACACATTAGCTTCATCTATCTCTTTTTGGATGCGATCCCAGGTTTCCCAATTTTGATCACCACCTTCTTTTATGAGATCTTCCAACTGGAGGGACAATCGACTAACTTTAGATACTTGCGCTGATCTGAAATACCTGCTCCAGTTGAGAAAAGCTTGTCGGGCTCGCTTAATCTTCTCTTTTAGGATAAACATAGGTGTGCCCAAAGTGGGCACGTCCCATGCTGTTTTGACCACCGTATCCACTCCCTCCTTATGAATCCATCGCTTGTCAAACTAGAAACGTTTTTGGAAATTAATAGCTCTGTCAGACGTTGTGATAACTAACATGGTATGATCAGATGTACTTCGAAACCAACTAGTCACTCTAGTTTCAGGGAATTTTGTTAACCAAGGGAGTGTTACGAACAGTCTGTCGAGAGTTTCTTCCACATAGCCTTCCCCAGCCCGGTTATTAGCCCAAGTGTGCGGCATCCCTTGGAGAGGGATTTCCTGGACACCCATTTGCGCCAAAAATTGATTAAACGCCCAAAAACTACCTGCTAGTCTGGGATTCCCCCCTACTTTGTCTTCGGCTTTGCATAGATCGTTCCAATCACCGGCAATACACCATAATTCTCCCCAGCCTACTTTTTCTTGAAGCAAACACTCCCATTGAAGCAATCTTTTAGCCTTTGAAGAAGTTAGGTATACAAAGATTGCCCAACACGAGCTGCCGACTGCTTTCTCAATAAAGTTCACTGCGATAAAAAATGATTGACTGTATATGCAAGTAACGTTCACCTCCTTATCCCAAAGCAATAAGAGACCACCACAAGTCCCTCGAGGCTCCACAATGTAATGTCTATCTGCAAAACCCAATTTAGAAGAAACAGAAAAAGAGATTTTTTTTGGTTTTTTTACTTCTGAAATAAATAAAAAAGACGGGTGATGGATCCGCAAGGATTCCTTAATCTGGGGAACTGTAGAGGGCCCACCCAGACCTCTACAGTTCCACACCAGAGCATTCATGAGGACTTGGAGGGCTTTTCAAGGCAAGCCCTCTCCACCTCGATCAGACTCAGCTTAATTTTCTTATCATGTTGGACAGATGCATCTCCACTTGGATTTGAAACGGAACATACCAGACTGTTATCCCTTTGTCGCTTAGAAATTAGTGCAGGCTTGCCTGGGGAGCCATTTTTGACAAGTTTGAGTATCCTGCCCTCCTTTTGAGTTGCTCTCCTCCAAGTAGACTGGGTATTGGTTGCACATGAACTTGTTGGGGCCTCTAGCTCTGTTGTTGTTTTGAATTAACAACTTAAAATTAAACACAGCAGGTGTCAAGAAAACTAGAATAAGTATTCATTTTGATTTTATTTGTTATAATAACGAGTACAGAAGTCGGTTTTAGACTGAAAACCGAGATCGTTTTTTAGTTCATGTACCATGTGTTCGAAAAAGAAGAAGATCCTCGTACTATCATAAATTCAGCTATTTATAGTACGGTGGCTTTTGTCTTCTTCCTTGAAATGGATAAAGATGCATTTAATGTTGAGCTGCTTCACTTGAAGCGGCGGGAAACATCAATGATTGCCTTTTTGTTTCGTTGGTCCAATCAAATGCTTCTAATGATTACTTTCTGTTGGAATATTCAGACTTCGTGATAGTCGGTTGAACTGAAGTCGGTTTATTTATGTTGGCTTCGGATATCGGTTTTTTCGAAGACCTTCCGGAGTCGGTAACTATGTAGAA